AAGAAATATAACAGCGAGCTGGCGAAGGGTGCTGTCTCCAAAGAAACAAAGTTTGAGTATGCTTGGTGTTTGATCAGGAGTAAATACTCACAGGATATCAAGAAGGGGATTGTACTTTTGGAGGGTAAGTCCACCCACTGCACCTTATGTACTTATAATGTTATTACTTTTCTGTTGGCTAACAGGATTGTTGCAAGTGCCCCTTGCAGTGTACTGAAAATCCAGATAGCTAAAGTCATCAAAGTAGTTTCCTTTTGACCTCGTTAAATCACCATCGCAACTGGTGCTGAACACATAACCAGGGCCCTGTACTACAAAGCGAGTTCAACATAGCTAGGATTTCTTTCAGCTATCAGGATTCACTTACCCTAACTTTGGGAATCAGGATAAACGGTTACAGGAAGCTGGTTATCAACTCGTAAAATTAACCAGAGCTTTCCCTTGCACCACAAAATAATGTAACTGTAGTAACTAAAATTATAGAAATGTCCTTGGATTGTAGACTTGGTATAGGTTTCCTGATGACTCTTTTCCGTTGACGCAGTGCTGGTGCTGTACTTATTCAGTTTGGACTTTTTTGAGAACCAGCCCACAGTTCAACATGAGCATGTATATTGCTGCAGTAGTTAAGTCCAGCTTCTTTCATTTAAGAAAACTGGCAAAGGGGACACCTGTCCTTTCATCTGGAGACTGTAATAGCTACTTTTATTATGTCTCAGCTTGATTATTGTAATGCCCTTAATGTTAGAGTTACCCATTCTTCCCTGTCGACTCGATATTGGTGCAGAATGCTGCTGTGCTGTGCTGTGGGCACACTACACGTATTCTGGCTGCCTATGCACTCTAGAGCCCAAGTTCTTGTATTTGTTTTTAAATCCTTAAATGGTCTAGGCCTGTCTTTATTCCCACCCTCCTGTCCGAGCTCTCTGGTCATCTGACTTGTTGTTCCTATGTGGATAAATTGCCTTTTCACATTAGACAGTCAGCTACGTGTCCATTTCAAAAACCCATGTTAAAGCACATTTATATTCTCTGACTTTCTACCCAGCATGAGACATACATCTTGCTTGTTTTTGTTTTTATTTTATTGCAGTTTTTATTGGTACTGTCTTCACTTCATTTTAATTTCATTTTTATGTACAGCACTTAGTGTCTTCTACGACTGTTTATAAAGTGCTTTATGAATAGAGTTGGTACGCTATGGACTGTTTCAAACTAATAGTTAAATCTGTTGTTTGGTTTTTGTCGTTGTTTTTGTTTTTCCGTAGTTATTTAACTACATTGTTAATGGACATCGGTATACAAAAAGTGTAAGATGTAAACTGTGATCCCAGGCAGGTCACTTCAAAACTTTACAGTAAACAAAGACTTGATAAGTTAAAAGTGGGAACAGAGCTGGTTTAGTTTCAGCCGTTGTTTAAGATGAACCTTAAATGTGTGATAAGTTGAGCGCTCCGTTATTCCCACTGATAGACTCTTCCTGTAATTGGTTAGTATTTTGAGTAGTGACAGCACAGTTTGTCCAAATTTAGTGAACCTATAAATTACTTCACAGTCCCCTCTAGTGGTGGCCCTACTGCTAAACCCACAGTCTGTGCTTGCACTAATAAATAAAGGAGGTTGGCATGTCCATGTAAAATCTTATACATGAAACAGTCAATTTTCAACATTATTAAAACTCAGGGATTTGTCATTCAACACAGCAAAAATATTCCAATCTTCAAATGGGAATAACTTTTTTAATCAAGAATTTTTGTGGAGGTTTTTTTCTTTTTTTTGTAAATAATGAGTATTGATTTAAGTGTTGTTTCAGCTGTTAACGATCAGGTATTGAAACAACAAGCAATACAAATAAAAGAATTGTACAGTCTAACCTGCGATGACCATCAGAGTCTAAGTTGCTGCTGGATTGACCCTGCGGGGGTCCTGGTGCCCAGAACTGGGTGAGTGTGTGAGTATTTTCATATGTGTCTTTGAGGGTGGGAATGCATGTTTGTGTCGGGTCTTAGACTCCACCTCTCTCAGAACATCTCCCCCACCATACTCCCTGCCAGTGGCTGGTGCCCTCACCTGCTGGTGCACTGATGGTTCTCGGTGCTCGGGTGTGTACTGGCTCACTCTCGGCTGTTGCCTCTTAACATATTATGCATTATTAGCACTGTATGCTGCTCAGTAACATTCAATATGTATTATTTACTGTTACTGATGCTCATGTTGGTTGTTGCTGTGGTTTCCCTACTGTCTTTTTGTTTGATTTTTCTCTTTCTTTTTTTTCCTTTTTTTTTTTGGTTGTTGTTGTTTTTTTTCCTCTCTTTTCTTATAAAAAAATAATAATAATGATAATGATGAGTGTCATCAGTGAGTCATTGCAGCAGCTCCTCCTGCGGTCGCTAAGGTCAGCGTCTCCAACTTTGGAACCAGCAATTTTGTGGTCTTTTTCTTTCTGTATAAATGGGTGTAACTGGTTTTGGATTAGGCACTGGCGCTGCGTCACTGGAAAAGCTCAGCACAGCCAGCTCCATTATTATTATTAAGATTATTCTTGTAACTTGTGACTTTGTGGCGGTTTTCAGCTTTCCTGGTTTGAATCAGTGTGTTTGTTTGTTTGTTTGTTTGTTTTTCTCATAGAACTGGTTCAGAAAGCATCAAAGGACGACTCCCGGGACTTTTTGTTCTACCTTGCAGTGGCCAACTACAGACTCAAAGTGAGTGGCACTTGTTTCTTCTTCTGAGTTCAGGTTTATGGGAGACAAAATGAAGAAACAGACCTGCAGAAATCTCTGCTTTTGTATCACGCTCCTTTTGAGCTTCAGATAAGAGAGAGGGCAAAGGTCAAATTTGACAAACAGAGCAAAATATTTCTCTCTCTGCCTTTACCTCTTACTTCCTACTCCTCCCTAAAAGCATGTCATCTTACTCATTGGTTCGCATTTACAGAGGGTTTTTCTAATTGGTCTAATCCTAAAGTACTGCTGAGGCATGGTTACATACACTACTAGGAAAATGTTTC